ATGTTGGGCAGAGAGTGATCAACTCACACAATCAGAGTATAAAGACGTTTTTCTCGCATAATCGCAGCAAATTTGATTTCCAAGATAGAAGTTTTGTAATTTGATGCCTAGCTGTCATCCACATGCTGAATTTACTAACAGCCACCCATTGAAATTTGTATTAATAAGCAAAATATATATAGCACAAGTGATTATATGTCTTTGGACTATTAATACAAATTTCTGTTCTAATCATTCCGGCAACAGTTTGTAGGATTTTGCTGAAAATTGCATAATATCAGTGCTTATTATTGTATAAAAATTATCCTTTCTTTCTACACTGCCTCTCTCTCTTTCTCTCTCACCCACACACACACACCCACACACCCACACACACACACTCAGCTTCCCCTGCTCCAGCTGTGTCTTAAGAAGTCAGCGCCAGACCGGTAATCTGACTGGGATAGAAGTTACTGGATCTGTATCCATTACAGGATGTAATACCCCTCTATCCCAAACTCTCAACACTTCCCCTTTCTGCACCTTTCAGAGGTCATTCTAAGATGACTGTTTCCTCCATTTTTCTCAGCGCTATAGCCCCATCCAAATATAATGCAATTTGCTTATTGCACATTGCTTTGTAGCTGATGGTTACCCACTATAACAGCCATTCCAGGTGGTGAGAGTAACCCTCTAATGCATTTTACCACAATCAAGTTTCAACCCATGTTGTGCATTACACCACTGGTAGTTGCTTCACCTGAGAAAAGTTTCGCTTTTTTACTTTGAAGTTGCTGATTTTTATTGGTATTACATGGTTTCTAGTCACAACATCATCACAAACCGAATATACAGAACTTCTGGGTAACCGACACACTACAGCTACAGGAGCTGCTCAGCCAGGGTAACCCATGCTATGAAGCTCCCAGCACACAATTTCTGTGCTGATGATGCTGCTGGTTTGAAACTCCTGAGTCAGCAGAGCATTACCACCATGAACCTGAGCACTCAGCAACCCTCAGCACTCAGTAACAAGTTGCTGGAGTTTTTAAATGCTTAAATTTGCCAATAATACCAATTAGAGTTGATCGTAGAATATCTACAAGAGAAGAACTTTCATAAACTGGCTTGTTGCAGTAGTGACAATCTATTTGCAGTATCACACTCAAATTCAGTGAGATCTATAGAATGTCCCAGTATTTTACAAATGTTTGTAAAGGCAGATTGCATGGCTAGGAGCTTGGTTTTATACATCTATGACAATGTAACTGAAAACACCTGAATTCAAAGATTAAAAGGAGTAGCCCAACACTTACAGGCCCCTTAAGTGTCAGTATCAAAAATGGTGTATTTGAGACTCATATCTGTGTCATTACTTTTATAGTAGAACAATAAATTCTCAAATGTCACCACATTAGTCTTCTGGGTACCAGGTTGTTAAGCCTGGTCAGGCCATGGTTTTTGGTGCAAACTGAAGAAGAAAAAGAAGGGAAAAAAAATCACATAGAAAATTGACAAAGGGAAAACAAATACTAATAGAAAACCAATAACAAGCACTAAAATGTTCCCCCTCTGGTTCAACGTTACAGTCAGGACATCAGTAGTTCTAATGAGGTATCAGTTTTCTGTATGTGAACAGAACACATCCTGTCAGAAAGCTTTAAGGGTGAGGAATGGAAAGCACAACTAACGGCACGGTACACTGAGTCACATCTCAAGTGCTTCTTTTCTTATTTTTTTAAAGCTGTGTTTTATTCCAAAATGCCTAATGACTTCCTCAGAGCAGAGTATCTTCAGAGACCCTCTCTGCATCCCTAAATGCAATTGAATGAATTCACTTGGAGTTGATGGGAATCATCTCTTTCACTGCTTTTGATTTTCTCAAAAACTAACAGCCAGGGCAATCCGTAAGTATGAAGTATGTCACTTTTACAATTAACTCAAAGAACTATGGCAAATTCTTAGGAGCTCGAGAACACAGGCAGCAAGTGTGATGTGTATATCTTGGCCAAAAACCAGGTAAATGTTTTATTCAGATAAAATAACACCTGAAATTCCACAGAGAGCAACAGTCTCATTAGAGAGCAGTGACAAAAGCAAAGCAACTGGCGGAGCTTTGACTGTGAAAACTGATACAGCCGTGCTTATTTCCACCAAGGACAATGAAATGTAAGCTATCACGCTCGCTCCTCACTTCCCAGAACTCACATTGAAGGCTGCAGCGTGGTGTAGGTGGAAGGTCACAAAAGATGTGTGTGTATGAGATTCATAAAGTGTGCATAAGAGTGTGATTTCCCTATACTACCTATGCCCACTCGACAATAAGGAGTACAATGTTACCTATTTGTTTACCGCAAAGACAATGGCGTATAAATGCCAGAGGGCAAACTGTGACTTTTATGCAGACACAACAGAGTAGGCATTTTACTGGCTGTTTAGAAAATTAACTACTTCATTTAACTATTTAACTACTCACCTGTGGCAACATGAACAAGGAATCCCAGGTCTAGACATCTATTCAGTCTACCAAGTTATTTGTGAGTTGTTACCGAACAAAGACAATACACCGAGGAAATTAAGATACAGAAAGAGAAAAGGAGACGGAGACAGTCTTGTACATAACAACCACCTCGCTCCGTCTCACAACTTCTTTTAATTGACAAATGTTTGTCTGTTGAGTCACGGCTGAATTTATTGACAATCAATCATCTGTATGTCAGCCAATGAATAGGCCTGTTGCTGATCCAATCAGTCATCTACGCGTAAGCCAATAAATGCGACTAACAGGCCTCAGGAGAAATGCTTTCTGAATACAGTTTGGACAGTTTGGATCAGCACAGTCCCTTTTTTGTGTTTTTGTGTTTATTATGTGAATTTTGCTGATGCCAGCAAATAAAATAAGACAATGAATTAAATCCTAGCATCTCAAATTCACACGCTAAGAATTTAAAGGCTATTCAGCACAGAGCAGTGTTCTAATGCTTATATATAAATAGTCATTTTTCATTCTTTTAGCTTCTAAATACTGGCAATGCCGGGAAGGATTTATGAAAACTGGACTGAAGATTTTCTCAGCAAATGCCTTACAAATAGAAAAAACACACACTGTGAATGACTAACTAGGAGCATAACACAAACAAGAAATCTTGGGTGAGGTCCAACATTGTGTCAGATTTAACAGTTCTTCTTTGCTGGCAGCTGTTCTGCGGCATCTTGGACGGAGCAGTCGGCGTTACCGTGCATCTAAAACATGTCGACACTTTGTCAGTTTGCACCCCTGTGCACTCAGGTGTGCAGTTTCATGCTTAAAAGCACATAATATTTAAAATAACTGTTATTCCTTCCAAAGCTCCAGTTATAAATTATGAAGCAGCACCTGAAAACAAAGAGAGTAAATCAGAAGGAGGGAGCTCGGCACAGACTGCTTCTGGAAAACCACCCAGTGACAATGACAGGAAAGATATACAAGACAGAGGAGATGACTTGCTGCCAGAGGTCGCAGGAAGACCTCAGCACATAACATACTGAGCATGAGGTATGAGCGTTTGCTGGCTTAACTTCAGGGCTCCCGGCTGAAATAGCCTACAATGACTTTAAATAGATCAACGATAAAGAAAGAGATAGATAAATAAACGCAGACAACATCATTCATTAGAAACACTGTCCAAATCTACACTCTGTGTTTAACTGAACAGTGGAAAGACTAACATTTAAACTCTTGAAAACCAAACTTTGTTTTTAAATTACTGATTGGGAGGAAAATCTACAAAATGCTCTTGTTACAGTTAACCCTAGAAGAGGGCATGAAAAATAACAGATGCTGCGAGTCAACCCTTAAAGCTGAGCTAGGGAGCACCTTTTTATTGTCGCTGGAAAAAAAATTCAATATAACATTTGAGGATGTTGTAATTGAAGTAGAATTAGACGAACCATAGCTTCTTGACCTTCCCCGAGGCTTTAGAAAATCTGGCTCACGTCCACAGATTTGAGTTAACTGCACTTCTTTTCAGTCTGGCATGTAGAGGGTCAAGTGAAGTATAAATGCGGTAATATAAAGACTGAAAATGTAATCATTTGTGGTAATCCCATCAGTTAAGCATAAGACTTTCACTTAGGAGATTGGGGTTCAAATTCGATTTGAAGATGAAACTCAGGCACTGTTAAATAAGACGAATGAACCGTCTCCTGTCAGACTCTTTATTTCTACTTACTGCAGCTTTAAAAACAAGTGTGATGGCACTAAACGCAACAGAGTTTTGAATCTGACACGTTCTCCCTCCAACACATAACAAATCACAGTTGAGATACCAAACATGGTCACAGACAAAGCGGCCGGCACGTGTAACATCAGTGTCAGTCTGTGAGGATGCACCTCTCAGTGTGCTTGAAGAAAATGACAAATATATTGTAAATGAACTGACATATGACTCAGTTATTATTGCAGCATAGAGTGCTTTGAAAGGGGTGTGATAATTCATGAAATGGGAACATCTTTCTTGTTTTTGCATCACAAGCCGCTGGTTGAATATTAGCTTCAGCAGCATTCATGTGCACGTGTTAAATATGCAAATTTAAAAATCATAGACTTGCTTGAAAATGTGTCGAATCAAATTTCTCATTTCAAAATCACAGCCCAAAGGAAGAGACAAAACACTGCCCTGTGCTTATTAAAAACCTTTTCATAATGACATGAAAATCAGTTATAACGCACAGAAAAAACAGCAACATACTATAGATATTTGGGATCATGTCCACTTCATTTGCATTTAACGTTTAAAACAGATTGTCATCATGGATTGCTTTCACAAAATGAAGGGCAAGGTATAGCACAGATTTAAGACGCAAGACTTAATGAGTTAAAAACTGGTATACAACAAAAAAAACTCTAAAGCAATGCTTCACAGTGTTAACGGGAGTAAGAGACGTAATGAGCTGTTGTGGAGCAACTTCAGCACGCAGCTACTTAAAAACAGCAAAAAGTTCAGGGGAGCAGTCAGCAGAGAAAGTTTGCAGTAACTCACCGTGTCCTTGCGCATGCAGAGAGAACAGTCCAAGCAATAGTAGAGAACTCCAGCTCCAGAAGCAGAGAGACAAACAGCGCTTCAGCCTTTCTCCCTGCACTGGCATGGTAAGAGTGTGCCGCCGCTCCTCTCTTCTCTGGTCTCCTCTCTTCTCTGGTCTCCTCTCTTCAGCGCTCTCCGCACGATGGGATCCGCTCACACGCCGTCGCTCCTTCTCAGTGTGTATGTATGCATCAGAGAGAGAGAGTGGGTAGCAAGAGAGGCGGGGGTAGTATCAGGCATGCGAGCTCCTGAATCTGTGAGTGCGAATGTGTGTGTGTCTGTGTGGGTCCACCGAAACGTGAGAAAGTCCACACCACACAGAACACACTGGCAACAGCAGCAGCAGTTGGAGATGATTGTCCCCCCAACCCTGTCTGACAGTAGCAGCCCAGCTGAGAGAGAGAGGGAGAGAGACAGACAAAAAGGGGGAGTTTACTTCACTTGCCTTGTAGGGAGGGCTGGCCCTCTCTCTCTCCACACACACACACACACACACACACACACACACACACACACACACACACACACACACACACACACACACACAGGGAGGGAGGACATGGGTGGAAAGAAAACAGGGGCAGAGAGCAGACAGGAGCAAGATGGGGTTTAGAAAAAAAAAAGTAGGAGGAGGGTGAGGAGGACATTGAAAACAAGCAGCACTATCTGTGGGATTCTGCACCTTTAACAGCTTATGGATATCTGTTTACACTTTGTTTTGGAAATAAGACTGTTAATCGGGTGAGATTGACATAAAGTGTTGACCTAACAATAAAGCAGTGCTACAATTGATCATGCAATACATTTCAGATAACTGCAGGAACTAAAAGAAAATCATATAACATCCACATGTACTTCCTTTCATGTGATTGTAGCGGATCCTAATTGTTGTGGGTTTGCATGGCCTAAATGGGAAAATTGGACCAATGTATGTTCAGTAAATATATCAGAATAGCTGAATATCAGAGTAACTGCCAACACTGGAGGTACTGGATAAATCTGTGTAGTACTTCAAGTATAATTAAGGGAAAAAATATACTGTATATGGAAGAGGCCCTACTTTAGGTGTGGTTTAATAGAGTGGATTTGAATTGTTCATGTTAACACGTAGACAGGCTAACCTGTAGTGTACTTAGACACCCTTTATGCATATGGTTTTGAGCCTAAGGCATTGACCTTTAGCTTTGGTCTTCAGCAGGCTGGAACGAGCATATGCAAAACAACATTTGAATAAAACTGCACTCAGGTTTGTGTCACCGACGACTCCACAGTCTGCACGGCTGGAGTCGGGTTTATCATTCCGAAGAATTCTGCTTTACAATCCCAGATTTACGAAAAGCTACTCAAAACACCTCTTCACACAGTGGCGTGCTATTCAAGTAGCTGGCCTAGACACTTTGAAGGAGCTGTTAGAGATTACATCACCCAAGCCTGGAGCTTTTATACTAATAAATAAATGGGTTGAGACACTCTAATAGACCATTTCCTTTCCAGAGCTATCCTCTTGCCTGTAAGGCATGCTTTCGACAAAACCGCGTGTGTGTGTTTGTGAGAGCGCACGTGCGTGTGTGCTGGTAACACTTTGCTTTTAGCTGAAAATATGACAGACCTGAAACACCACAGAATGGGCAGCTTTTTTTTTTTTTCCTCCTCAAAACACAAAATGCTGAACATTGAAGTTTCGAGGTTAAATAGATGGGGGTTTTTTTCATTTTAATCTGCCTCTTTGTTGCTGCCGCTGTTCTTTGCACTTCTTTTCTTTCTCACACTTGTTCATGTTGGTCATTAAAGGCAAACAATAGGCTGCCTGGCTCCCTCGCTCTTCGATGAGAGCAAAATATCACTTCACAAATAAACCGTCCTGCCCTGCCGCTGCCCTATCGTCTTTCTGTCTGCCCTCATCATTGCCTCTCTCAAGCCCTGTTCCCATACAAACAGTAATAAATGTTCTTGTCAATTTTCCTCTAATGTGAAAGAGAAGATCCAGTCTCAGTTTTTGAAGCAGGATGCCGAGCTGGGGATGTTTAGCAAATAAGAAGCGGCCACTTGTGTAACTTGATATTTCAATTAGTATTTTGACAATTAATTAACCAAATACATCTATTTGGTGTCTTTCTTGCTACAAGATTACAGTGATCTGATTTTTGAATAAAATCCTTTTTTTCTGCCCTTTCTGAACTTCTGAAGTCCTGGATTCGGTTGTAAAGTCAAAATTTTGAAGTGACCATTCCAGATAGGAACGTTTTCCGTTTTGGAAAACCACAGCAAAGTTTCTCCTGTTTCATGCCTTCCTAAATGACACACAGCTTTCTTTATTACCATTTCTACTCTTTCCAAGGTTTTTTTTTTTTTTTTAACTAACAAACTTAGCTGCCCTCCCCCTCCACTTCTGTGTTTTTCTTCTCCACTCCTTTTCCCACTCCCCTCCTCCAGTGAACCAGAATGTCATTTCAAGCATGTCTAACCACGGGAAGCCTTTTAAAAAACTGTGACAGCATTTGCCCCCAATCCCCAATAGCTGTGAAGCCCTGTGTGTGTAAGCAAGTAATGAATGTCTGTGGTGATTTGCTTGAGAACAGAATATCATATGCAGATTGAGGTATGATCCCTTTAAAAGCTGTTACTTTAAAGGTACTGTAGACCAGTGCTCCATGACACACACACACACACACACACACACACACACACACACACACACAGGCTATTCTTCACTGGTGTCACCCTCATGCTGGGTCTATGATGAATGGCTGAGACTGTCATGAGCGAAGGATGAGCAGTAAGAAAAAAGGGAGAGAAAAAAAAGCACAGAAAGGCCTCTGACAAGAAAAACAAAGGGGAGAAGAGGGAAGAATAATAGATGTCTGAAGCCTTTTAGAGGAAAGCTTTTTTGAAGAATTTAGATAACAGAAGGAGGAAGATGACCTTTAAGGGATATTTAGAGGAATTCAAATTTAAGAGCAAAAAAAAGCTTATACTGATAACAGGAGGTCAAAGACATAAAAATACAAGCAACACTTCTACTTTACGTCACAAATGAGTTGCTCAGATGTCTTTAAATCTGATGCAGAGACCACTGTTTATTCTGACTGCTTGTATGCTAATAGTGTTCAGGCCCCTTTACACATTCAGATTATAAGTCTCAGCAAGTGCTTGGGGTCAGTAGTTTATTCAGCATCCACTCTTTCATCATTTTTGACAAGCTGTCATAACACAACAACTTCACTTGTCAGTAGCTCTCAGTGTCAACACTTCAAAGGAGGTGGACTGAAAGTTGCCAGTAAACACATTTAATTTCTGATCTCGGAAATTAGAAACAAATAATACAGCTGTTAGGTACAATTCAGAAGTTTCCTCCTCGCCAAGTGGACTCATATATATGTACGATAGTTCAGAATTGCTAATTAAGATTGTGCAGTGCTATATATATATATATATATATATATATATATATATATATATATATAGCACTGCACAATCTTAATTAGCAATCCTCAACTATCGCCTCTCCAGAACTGCAAACTATTAACTGCCGTGTCACCCGTGGTTTTATAATACCTTGGAGATAAATGAGAAAGGGTTCTTTCTATTAAGATCACTGACAGTGAATGGGAATGTAAAGATATGCTAAAATCACTTTCAGTTTGTAATCATGCCAAAGCAATACAGTTGAAGATTTAACACACAATGCATATATCTCCCAATCTTAAAACAGTTTCAACCCAGCAATGTGCTAGATAGAGATTGGTACCCTAACTCATTGCCGTTGCTAATGTCATAAGCTGCAAAGATACCGATATTATTATGGAGATGGACCCAAAGTTTCTTATTTGAGGTCTCTCTGATAGAGTACATTCTTCAATAGGTCTATTACTTACTTGCACTGCAGTGAAGAACATCTTACTAAAGTGGATTAATGTAAAAGAACCAAGTGTTAAACGCTAGTGTAGAGTGCTGTTTTATTTGGTACTGTTGTTTTACATTTTTTGTCTTTTGTCTTTGTTTGTTTGTCTAAAAGTGTGTGCTTAAAGATTTCAGAATGGATCCATCCTTTGCTTGTAAAACTGGAGAACAATAAATATATTTGGAAGAAAAAACTTCATTATATGTAGACAACAGCTTTATAATTTGAGTGAAGTTAACTAGATCTCTGTAGCGTGTTGATCATCTTATAGAAGGTCTATAGCACTGAGACTCTTCTCACTCCTCGCCGTTCTGTCATCAGATCATGAGTACTCCCATCATCTATAACTAGGGATCTACAAATATTGTGTTACCATGGAATTGCGTGCCATTGACCTTGACTATCACTGGCCTTTTGGCAAATACTATGACGAAATGACTGCTGAGGGTGATAAAGATGACATATGACATCCTCTGCCTCTCTGATTGCATCCTGTGAGATGGACCTCATTGTAGTTGATCAGAAAGTATCAGCTTTGTATGTAGCTTTGTTGCCTCACAGCTAGAAGGTTGTGGGTTTGAATCCACCATCAGGCCGAGGCCTTTTTGCGTGGAGTTTGCACGTTCTCCGTGTGGGTTCTCTCTGGGTACTCTGGCTTCCTCCCACAGTCCGAAGACATGCATTTAGTAGCATTAGGTTAATTGGTGATTCTAAATTGCCTATAACTGATGTGAGTGTGAATGGATGTGTATGTCTCTGTTAGCCCTGCGACAGACCGGCGACCTGTTTGGGGTGTACCCTGTCTCTCACCGTTTGTAAGCTGGGATAGGCCCCACATGACCCTGAGCTGGATAAGCGGAAGAGAGTGGATGATAAATAGACAGAGCATCCAGGAGCTACTTCTGATAAAGTGCAGGCCTAACATGCGAAAAAAAAAAACCTATCCATAGCGATTTTGAATAGAGGGTAAAGTAGATGCGCAATTTTAACTAGATAAAGGAATAAAAATTACACATTATTTATACAGATTGTTGTTCTTTGTTTTTTAAAACAGTTGAATGTGTAGCAGTGCAGCAGTGTTAGGAGAGTCAATTTCTGATTACCAGAGTACTTTTTTTTTTTTTTTTAAAGTAGGTGTTAAGACTTGAAGGTTTTCACAGGCCACTTACTGTAATTTCTGTCTGGGCTCAAATTCCAAATATATAAATGGACTTGGGATACTTGCGACTCTGCATATACCTATTCAAGCACATTGTCTCCACATTCGGATTTCTTTGGGATTTAAAAACCACCTTACCTTTTCCTGGCTCACTTTTAGAAGCATTTATCCCTTTATTTGATGTGTGAACTGACTAAAAGACAGGGGATTAAATCCATTTTAGTGAAACACCTCCGTGGCACAGCAGCACATCTGCTAATCCCCACCCATTCACTTCAGCATGTCTTTAAACTAACAAGAGGTTTAACATAATCTGCTTTAAGTCTGTCCAT